TGTTGTCGTGGGTGTAGTTGTGGTTGGGGTGGTCGTTGTGGTTGGGGTGGTCGTGGGTGTAGTCGTGCTCGTGATAGTTGTGGGTGGAAGTGTTGTCGTGGGTGTAGTTGTAGTTGTGGGTGTAGTTGTTGTCATGGGTGTAGTTGTGGTAGTTGTGGGTGTAGTTGTTGTCATGGGTGGAGGTGTTGTGGTAATTGTGGGTGTAGTTGTTGTCGTGGGTGGAGGTGTTGTGGTAGTCATGGGTGTAGTTGTTGTCGTGGGTGGAGGTGTTGTCGTGGGTGTAGTTGTGGTAGTCGTGGGTGGAAGTGTTGTCGTGGGTGTAGTTGTTGTCGTGGGTGTAGTTGTGGTAGTTGTGGGTGTAGTTGTGGTAGTTGTGGGTGTAGTTGTTGTCGTGGGTGTAGTTGTAGTCGTGGGTGTTGTTGTTGTCGTGGGTGTAGTTGTGGGTGTAGTTGTGGGTGTAGTTGTGGGTGTAGTCGTGGGTGGAGGTGTTGGGCAGATAAGCTGGTCCTGTGTTAGTGAGAGCATTTCCGTCCCTTTCAAACCTTCGGGACACTCACAGAGGGGCGGAGACGTGAGCTTCGCAGCATTCCCGGTTATCCAGCTGTGGAAGTCTTTCAGATTACAGTCGCAGAGCCACGGGTTGTTACTGAGGTCAAGCTTCCGGAGTTTTCCTAATGGCTTAAAAATATCTCCAGGAAGCGTCTGCAGGTTGTTGTGAGCCAGCTTGAGAGTGGCTAGTGATTGTAGCTTTTCAAACAGAGCCTTATCCAGTGACTCCATCATGTTGTTCTGCAGATTCAGGTCTGTGAGCTTCTCTGGGCCTTCAAAGTATTCAGGCGACAAGGTGACGAATTTATTCTTCGACAGGTCCAGCTTCCTGATTTTCTTCAGAGGGCCAAAAACTCCTTTAGGGAGACTGGAGAGATTGTTTTGCTGGAGGCTTAATTCAGTCAGTTTGGGCATTTCTCCAAACAGCACTGGTGGCAAACTTTTCAGCCTGTTATTCTTCAAGGTCAGTGTTTTAAGCTGAGGGAAGCCGACAAAATACCCCTCAGGAAAAGTAGTTAGAAGATTATTGTCCAGAAACAGTTTAGTCAGTTTGTTTTTATGAGGAAACAGATTGGGAGGCAATTCTTCTATCTGGTTTCCTTGCAAACCAATTTCCTTTAAGTTTGGTAAATTCTGAAACAAGTCTTCAGGGACGGTGGTCAGCTGGTTCTCATAAAGTCGGAGTGTCTCCAGTTTGTTTAGGTTGGAGAACCAGTGAGTTGACACAGCAGAGAGATTGTTTTTACCCAAATGGAGCATTAAAAGGTTGTCAAGACCGTCAAATGTCTCATCTTCAATCAACATAATCTCATTCGAATGCAACGGGAGGTGTCTTAGTTTTTTAAGGCCTTCAAACAAACCTTTATCAAG